ATTCCAAAATTCCAAAATTCCAAAATTCCAAAATTCCAAAATTCCAAAATTCCAAAATTCCAAAATTCCAAAATTCCAAAATTCCAAAATTCCAAAATTCCAAAATTCCAAAATTCCAAAATTCCAAAATTCCAAAATTCCAAAATTCCAAAATTCCAAAATTCCAAAATTCCAAAATTCCAAAATTCCAAAATTCCAAAATTCCAAAATTCCAAAATTCCAAAATTCCAAAATTCCAAAATTCCAAAATTCCAAAATTCCAAAATTCCAAAATTCCAATATTCCAAAATTTCAAAATTTCAAAATTCCAAAATTCCAAAATTCCAAAATTCCAAAATTCCAAAATTCCAAAATTCCAAAATTCCAAAATTCCAAAATTCCAAAATTCCAAAATTCCAAAATTCCAAAATTCCAAAATTCCAAGAATCGAAAAAGAAGAAAATATTTTCATTATTTAAGATTTTAAACCAAGTATTTATCAAAAATTTAAATTTTAATTGGATTAATTTCAATTTCATAAATCTTATTCTGATATAAAATTTAAAAAAAATAGAGAAAAACCAGAACTGGGAAATAAGTTAAGTGATTTGCAAGATTTTCGCTGAATATATAAAAAACAGAAAATATTTTCTTCCTTTTCGTTACTTGGATTTTTGGAATATTTATTGTCATAGCTAATACAGATCCATTAAAAAGATGATATTAATAAATATTCCAAGAATTATTTAATTTTTTTATCAGATTGAGAACTTAATTTTCTTCGTCTATTATTTAGTTATTTTGTAAATGAACTAAATATAAATGTAATTTTTTTTTTTCATTTATTCATTTACTTGTTTCAAATGTAATATTTACTTTCGATAATTGGATTTTTGGGAAATTTCTAACTACATTTAATAAAATTCATTACAAAAAGAAGAAAATATATAGTTTTTTAAAAACATTATTAAATTACATTGAAACATTTAAAACTGAAGATATTAATATAAACAAATATGAGAATAGTTTTATAACCTCGATACAAAAGGATCATAACATTTTTAACATTCACAAAAAATTGCCAATATTACACATTAAACCGTATGAACAAAATTCATAATAGTTTTAACGTTCGACAAATGAGCAGTTATATGGGCGTAATTTAGTAAACTGACTAAATTGCGCTATTAATATTACAAGAAAATATTTCCCACTTCGAGTTGATATGTTGCTTCAGTTTCTAGTTTGTTCGTTATTGGGTCTTCTGAAAATCAGGACTGAGGATGGTGAAAGCCAAGAGCACCAGTTTCTGAATATGTATAGTGCCAAGCGGAATTAGCTATAACAACGCATGGACATTATTAATCATATTTACGTAAAAGCAGTCAATAAAGATCTTGGTAGAATAATTATAAATAGTTACAACTTTGTCAAATATTGGGGTCTATTCTGTAACATTTCCTTTATATTTAACGGCCTTTAAAAATATTGGCGGCCTATAAAAATATGTTCGTATTCGTTAATTTACTTCTATCATTATTTAAACAGATTTCTTTAAGATAGTCCTCTAATGTATTTTAAAGATCCGTTTAAATAGTGACCGAATTAAAGAAGAAAATATTTTTAAAGGCCGTTAAATATAAAGGAATTTTTACAGAATAGACCCCATTATCAGTTAAAAATAATAAATGAAACCTACTTTAGTGTTTTTACGTTTTCCACCTCAGCAATAAAATGATGGATATACGCGTGTTTAGTGAAAACGTCACAGGTTAAGGTCATAGCACTGGATGCCAATAGAAGAACCAGACCGTCAACTGTCATCAATGTCCATAAGAATAACACAGGGGTCATTGAAATTATTAAAGTATAATTTTGAAAATGAAAGCAATTTAATTATTTAACATAATAGAGCAGCGTTACTCAAAGTGAGGTGTACGGATCAGTGTGGCTTCGCAAAGCCTTTGTGGGGCAGGGCTGCCGCGGAGATATTTAGAAATGTACTAGAAAATTTGAGGAAAATGTACTAAATTGTCACGTATGTTGTCAGTTGTCATGTCAAATCTTGTCGAATGTCAACTGTAGGATGGATTGGCGTTGTTTGTTTTTGTTGCTTATGTACTTTGAAAAATTGGAATTGGAATATACCACTGGAATATACCGATACGTTAATATGAATATAGTTTTGTTTTAAATTTTATTATTTTAATCAAGTTTAAAGGCAAGTTTTTATATGTTTATCAAGGTATGTAAACATAAATTGTACGATCATAAACCAGTCACTTACACCAGGATTCTGCATAATAGATAATTTGGAGGTCCCAATAATCTACTGCGCAGAATCCTGGAGTCGGTGACGGGTTTCTGATCGTTATTGGAATAGACCTTATGTAAAATCCCTTTTCTTTAAGGAAAATACCGCTAATATTTACAATACTTAGGTACCCTTATTACCCTTATAGCGGGAAACTTAAGCTTTCCATCATAGACCACAAAGACGATCAGTATTACAAATTGTACTAAATTGTCCCTGATTTGACTTAAAATGTACTTTTGTACTTTGCCGTGAGAAATGCGAAGAAATGTACTAAATTTAGTACAATTGTACTGAAACGGCAGCCCTGTTGTGGGGGCTCCGCGAAGAAATGAATAGTCATAATAAAAAAAAGCAATACTATCGGTACAAAAGGGAGGGACTTGGCTTGAGGACCTGTTTTTTTAGTTAGAAGTCACTACTAAGAGAAAGGAGGATATGATTTTGCTTGTAGAACCTTTTTTTAGAGTCACTAAGAGGAAGAACGGACTTTTTATAAATGTGTTTAGGGCTCCGTAAAATATTTCGCTTTTTAAAAAGGTTCCGTCACCAAAAAAGTTTGAGACCCACTATATTAGAGCAAATGGACGGTAAAGTAATAACGTTTATATGTTTTTCTCTCGATTTCAACAGGAAAATATTTATTGGTCTTCTATTTGAAGAATTTTAAACCAGCCTACTTAAACCCTGGTTTTTGAAGTATTACGGGTATTAATTTCATAAAACTCCATCAACTTGATGAATCTACTTTTGAAAACCCAGGATTAATTTTCAACACAAAAAATTCAAAACGCAAGGAAATTATAAATCCTAATAATTAATAAATAATTATACAATTTAAATCGTTTATTTCAAGTTCATTTAAATTGGATTCAAAACATTTTCGAATAACTTTGCTGGGTTTTTCACAAATATCATCAGAGGCCTTTCGTTTAGCAGATGCACTCACTATATGTCTTTGAATAATACTTTCTTCTATTGCTGGATGATTATGTGTTAACATTTTTTTTCGGTTATTACACGACCACCAGAATCATTGTTCGAAGAAAGGCTTTACACTTTCTATTCACACACAGGGCCGACTAGGGGGGGGGGGGGGGCAGCCGGGACCAATTCCCGGGGCCCGGACTCAAATGGGGGCCCGGCAGCAGTGATGAGAATTTTTTTTGTTACGACACAAGAGGGGGAAGTTCATGATTGAAGGCTTTTTTTTAGAGAATTTTAAGTAGGGAGGAGAATTTTTTACCTTTTTTTTTAGAGAAATTCAAGTAGACGAGGAGACATTTTTGTTTTTAATTTTTTATAAAATTGTCGCGGGGCCCGATCTGGAGAATTGTCCTGGGGCCCGGTCTGGCTCTCGGTGGCTCTGTTCACACATACCTACTTAATTTCTCCAGATGCTTACTTTTCGCTGGTTTGATTAAATTTGTACTGTTTTATAATTAATAATATTTTTCCACGTTGACTTGTTACTTCGCGAATCGACATGTTTATTGAGCTGCTCTTACTACCACTTACAATTACGAAAGAAAACTAACTCATTCATAAATATCAGATCCGAAAGAAAAACTTTTCGGATTTCTAGTAAGTACAAGGAATTTTTCAATAATGACTGTTCCTTAGAATTTTATATTAAATCTTTTAACAGTTCCTAGATAAGATTGGATGCTAATTAGGACAGGTATATTTTTCAAACGAGCACGAGTTAGGTATACGGATTATAGAGACTTTTACTCTTTTACCTTTTTAAGGATTAGTGAGCATGAGTTGGGATGCGCCCAAAAAAATATGCACCAATTATAAACAAATTTCTTCATTACGGTAAATTTTAGAGAAATCATGTATTTAGCCAAAATGATAGAAAATGACATCACACACAACTGTTGCTCAGAGAATTTTCCACTATAATCATAAATAACAGAAATATATCCTAATGGAGAAAAAAAGTATTATTATTATTATTATTATTATTATTATTATTATTATTATTATTATTATTATTATTATTATTATTATTATTATTATTATTATTATTATTATTATTATTATTATTATTATTATTATTATTATTATTATTATTATTATTATTATTATTATTATTATTATTATTATTATTATTATTATTATTATTATTATTATTATTATTATTATTATTATTATTATTATTATTATTATTATTATTATTATTATTATTATTATTATTATTATTATTATTATTATTATTATTATTATTATTATTATTATTATTATTATTATTATTATTATTATTATTATTATTATTATTATTATTATTATTATTATTATTATTATTATTATTATTATTATTATTATTATTATTATTATTATTATTATTATTATTATTATTATTATTCTATAAAAATTGTATTTTGATTAAAAAACAGATGAGTGTACAAATTATATGGTCGGATCTTAGACTAATAGATAATATACCTGGTGTTGTCTTAGAATAATCTTAATGTCAGATAAAATTAGTAGGTATTTATTTTATTAATTTAAAAGTGAAATTTTCTAGATTTTAAAACAAGTTTCGTTACTAATTCGTGAGTGACTAATATTTCCAAGTAGTGTATAGTAAATTGTTAAAAATGTATACGATTAACGCCCTGTTGTACGAATTACTATGCACAATGTCATGCTACGAACCTGTGCCAAAAAAAGAAAGTTGTTTAGCGCGGTACTTACGCCCAAAAAATGTTTACCCGAAATTTCGAAAATCTACCATGAATGGCATCGACATCATCTCCGCTTTAATAGTGCACCGAGTAAAGACTTGGTGCCGCGCGGCGCCCCCGTTCGTCGTCGTGACGTATCGGGCGTTGATTTCGAGGCCAAAGACGCCTCGAGACGCTAGCGACGCTCTCTGGGACGCAGTCAGTGCCGAACAGCGTCAGTCGCAGATTTCGACTCACTAATAACACGCCACTTAGGTTAGTACAAAAAAAGTGTATAGAAAGTGTAGTTTTGTTTAATTAAAAATTTATTAAAATTCGTTGTAAGTATAGGTGGAAGATTCAGTGAACTGTTTCCTTTGGATATGGGCGAACGTTTTTCTGTTAAATCGTTCGCACGATGTGACAGGTTTTATGTAACCACTTGCTTTGGGAGTTGTCTATTTATATAACAGGCTTTTGGTTTTATACCTCTATATTCGGATAGTACTCTACTTTAGAGTATTAAATTGCTATATATTTTCTAAAACCATAGAGGATAGTTAGACAACTCCAAAAAACGTATATTTAATGGATCTAATCCTCTTCCTAGTGTCAGAGTGTTGGCCATTTCTTTTTTGGCTAGTAATTTACGAACCACCCAGTAGATTTTGTTTTTTATATTTGGCAGATATATTTTCTCTAAGGTATTTTATCGATTACGGTCTTATCAAGAGAAAAATTCCAGGTCCGTATTAGGAAAAATTGACAAATTTTCCAGCCTCAAAAAAACATATTTTAAAAAATGTTTTCACATATTTGGAAAGAAGACAAAATACTGAATTCAATGATTTACTTTTTCTTTTCACACAGTTAATTTTACAACTAAAGTTCCAAGTTTAAAGTTTTATTTTATCAGAAATTTGATGGGCCAAAGTGCAATCCGAGTTATTTTAAATAATTTTTATGAGGTTTTAATTAAATTGTTCAATTTTTAGAAATTATTGCTGTCACCGTTTTTCTCTAATCAATTAAAATATTTAATTGCAGGTCCGTATTTAGAAAAACATGTTTTAAGATTAACTAATTGGTACACTTTTAACTAATAAAGGGACAATTCAAAAATTAATTATTTACCCCTATAAGTTATTGTAAATAGACAGAATTTAACTTACAAAAACGAAATCAGCAATGAACAGGCTATGACATTTGTGGATATATAGAGGTGGGCCACATAACTAACCTCCGAGATCACCTGAATTGAACTCAGTTGATTTTTATGTTTAGAGGTGACTCAAATCAAAAGTTTACTAAAAAAAATAAGGAACAACTACTCCAAAGGATCTATGATGCTTGTGCCTTTATTTTACACATTTATTGTAGTTTTTAGTAATTAATAACTCTGTTTTATGGGTCTTAGTGTGTTCGTTTCTGTTAGTTTATTTTTTGTACTTGAATACTAAGGCATACCACAATAGCCTGGGGCAGTAATTGCTTAGATTTTGCATTGTCCTTTTAATACTTGTATGTATATCAATTAATTAATTTTAAAACATTTTTATACAGAGCGTTTACAAAATATTAGGTAGATGTTACCGAGTAATTAAAAAAAAAACATAAAAACTTAAATTCTAACAATACTAATTGAGTAAATAATGGTATGATTTTAATTAAAACGGTATAAAAGTAATAAAAATGGCTTGTATAACCTTTTTCTACACCAAACTGGAAATTTGAAATTATAATTTTAATAGTAAAAGTATGTAAAATATTTTTAAAAATCCTTTATACAGGTTGTTTTGAGGCTGTAAGAACTTTTCCAAATGCAGTCTTGGATTTTTGTTTCTTGTTAAAATCGTCCTCCATTGATTACTTTATAGAAAATAACTCTGCCAAATATAAATCTACTGGGTGGTTGGTAAATTGCGAGTTAAGAAAGAAACAGCTAAAATTGATTCCAAGATTAAAATTTGCTCAAAAGTACCTATATATAAATATTAAATCAGTATTTAGATATTTTAGTGACCAAGAAATTTACAGGTGATAAAAGATTTTTTCAGTGCACTAGAATAGGGTATATTGAAAATATTATTTGATATCAGTAAAACAATCTTCTTGGGACATATCTAGAGAATTCACTTTTAAAAATTGCCACTCTATCAAAAACTAGTCATAGGATAAAGTTTAGCTGTTTTTATCGAGTACTATAACCTATATGAAAATTTAACCATACGTTTAAAAAAAAAATTATTGGAGATAGGCTTAAACGATAATTAGGGTACTGATTTCCTATCTGTTAAACCAAATAAAGCGTCGTACTTCTGGAGATGTTTGGTACGATTATTATACAATGTTTCTGTTCATTGTGGCTGCCAAAATTAAAATTTAAAAACGTAATCACTCGGAACAATTCCTTTGATGAAAAGTTTTTTAATCTAGATACAATTTTCCATTATAAAAAATATATTTATATTACACTCATTACATAATCTTATTTCCAACACCAACGCCATATCGACATCTGTTCGAAACCATCACGCGACTGGTCGAAACCAAATTAAAAAATGCTATTATTAGTTTGTTTGATCTTGAAAAATTTCAATGTGTTCTTCATGACTTGATAGAAATCAATATTATTTGGCTGTGATGATCTGTTGACGGATTCTATTTTTGTTTATGTATGCTATAAAAAAATTTAATTGGCATAAGCCTGAAAGAAATCATAATCACGGGATTAGTCAAGAATGATCCACAAAAAAGTTTCTATACACAAAACTCTGAATTAAATTCAAACTAAAAAGAATAATTATTGTACGGTCCGATATGCATGAATGTTTCGAAGACCTACTATAGAAACATTTTTTGTGAATTATTCCTTATTTAAATAAGTTAATAACAAAAATCATAAAACAAGTAATAGACTTCATTTCCCACATCGAACGTCTTCGGCAAATTCAAGCCATATTTCTTTCTTTCTTTCTTGTGTGTATTAAGTGAGATAACTGAAAGATATCTTTCAAGTAGCGAGCCAAGTTTATATGTAACACCCTAATTTTTTTTATCAAAATTATTAACACGCATTTGAAATTAAGCCATCTTCAGTGCTTATCTACAAGAAGTATGAATGTAAACATAAAATAATTTTTAAAAAAGAAAAGAGAGAGCTAAATTGCTAGTCATGACACTCAAAGCAACGTGTACAATGACGTTATTATTAGGAGGTCGTACACCGATTTTGTATGAAATTCTTTAGACTGATCAACTTCAGTATTTCAGTTCGTTTACCTTTCTGAGCTACATCTCCATCAGAATACATTTGGTCGAACCTATTTTAAGCATGTGACAATATACCTACTATGCAATTTCTGAGTCTCAACAAAATTATCACTGCCACTACTTAACAGATCGTCTATCTCCGTACACTTCCTGGCAAGAACAGCTTCATCCTCATCAAACTTAAAAGGGTATTTAAAGCCGTCATCAGTATTCTCTGTACAAATAGCCACCAAGATTTGAAAATACATCTGCCAATATTGAGACCTCTAAACGGAAATTCCCACTCAAGCTCCTCTTTCACCAAACGCTTAATAAACATTATACCAGCCATCTTAATGACAATACTCTTACACTCTATTTAAATACAAATTCCAAAATATTTAGTACATTGTAACTAAAGTAAAGTAAAAATTTCAACTATAATAACACAGAATTAATTGACATTTATTAAATCCTTAAAATTAAAAAAAAGATAAAGCTTGTTTATACCTCGAGATAAGTCCCAAATTGAGCAAGAGCAAAAATTCAAATCAATAAACCAAATTGGTATATTATTAGGTACTTCAACAAATGACAAATACATATACTCTAGTCTATCAACATAAAGATTACTTAAGACTTTAAAAAATATATTTTGAGTAATTAATTTAGCTAAATGATTAATTTAACGTAATGACCCACGTTGGGCGCCAAAAATATAACCTACAAAGTGAACTCCGCAACTTTTAGTGAGAGAAACTGCCTAAAGCTGAACTTTTTTAAAAAAGACAAGAAAAGAATTAAATTAAATGACAAGAAATTTAAATAAAGATACATTCAATAAATATATCCAATAATTCGTCTTCTTTTTTAAATGACAAGTTAGAATTTATTCTGAAGCGACTTTGATCATATAAATCTTTAATATCAAGGTTTTATTGGACCGTGATAGTCGTGACGTTAAAACAAAGTTGGTAACACGTTTTTGTGTCTACACTAAACAAGTTACTATGAGAACGATGTCAGATATTATCTATTATGCTGTCGTAAACAAATATTCCATACAAATATTTTTGATTTGGGTCTGTAAATAAATAAAAAATAATCAAGCATAAGTGCAGAACACAATTATATTTTTTGCACAAAAATTGAATATTTACCACCTAAATTTACGAAAGATGTCTATACGTACCTGTAAGTTACAAAGTAAAAATCATTTTTAAGTATTTACAATTAACGATTTTGTAAAAAAAATCCGAAATTATTTTGATAAACAGTTCTCGAGATATGACCAGACGCCCTTAAAAGCTGAAATTTGATTTTAAAACACATTTTTGCTGAAGAGATTCTGATTAATAAGGAATTACGAGGCAATCTGGCCCCACGCAATGCGACTAGTTTTGAGCAATCTTTAACAATATAAATCATTGACCCTGTCAAAGCCCCCGGCTATTTTGACAGGTCGCTGGAATGACCAATGTTGTCATAACGTGATTTTAATACAGTTACACTTTAACGTTCCAACTAGTATTAATTGAATGAGCCTTTGGTGTTCGACTTATTTTTAGTAGTAAACTTGAAAATGTTTATGTTTTATGATGAATGTGATACGTTTATAAAAACTTCGTATGTTCAAGGCGTATCCATCCTTCCATATTTCAGACGGTTAGCGCCAGATCTTGTCCCACGTACAAATTGTAAAAATGTATAAAAATTATTCATTCATACACAAAATTCTATTTTTGAAGCTTTTCTAATGTATTCATCGTGAAATACAATTAGGCATTTTAAACAAAATGACTGCCCGTTTGAAATGACAGGCACATGATAGATTATAATATGGCAACACTGTGGGCCTGGTGATTTGATAGGGTTAATGATATAGAGAGTTATACAGATTTATCATCCATGTTTAAAAAAAACATAAGTTTATGCCTTCAGTAAATATGTAGGTAATTATTTTTTTTTAATATAATCAAATGCTGGAAATTGGCTTCAAAACACATTTTTGCTAAACCGATTCA